GCGCCCGCCCCGTACGGCGCGCCGGGCCTCCTTCGGCGGGCCCCCCGCTGGAGCCGCAGCTGCAGCTGTCCAGAAACGGCGGCACCTGCTCACGCTCCCTCGCATCCCTTGGGAGGTCAAGCTCAGCACAGGGGCTGGTATGTCTGGGGGCCTTCGGCCCATCCCGCCACTCTGCCTGGGTTGTGGGTCGGAGTTCTCAGGGATGGTTCTTCGGGTCTCTTCGGGGCGCTCCCGGGGGCCTCTTTGGAGCAGTCTCGGGGCCTCTTGCGGGCCTTTTGGGAGACTCTTGGGGACAGAGGCACATGCTCACTTCTGGTTGCATTCCCTGGGGGTTCCAATTCAGCAATTGCGTTTGTATATTTCTGGCGCTGTTATATCTCCGAGGTCGAAGGCCAGTCTAGTCTTGCTGAATCCCGCTTCTTTCGGCGAGTCCCAGCCTGGCCTTCTGATTGGATGGTGAACGGTTCTTACGAGGACCTCCTGGAGGTTGCCTCCTAGCCTCTCGCCTGCCCGCGTGCCATTTACCGAAGATCAAACAAGCGGCACAAACATGAATGTTTGAAGGTCCGCGTGGACTCCTTGGATCGGCGCTGGGCCCCCGTGGCGGCGCCTCCGTCGCCGCCCCTGAAACGTTGCGCTGCTCAGGGCGGGGGGTCAGCGCCGATCCGAGCATTCCGCGCAGAATTCGGAACATGTATGTATGTGCAGACATCTCTCTTGCATTCAGCATGGACCCAATGCCCGCCCTCTTCGTCTTCGGCCGTGCACTCCCTGGGAGGGAAGCCTTCTCCCTGCGGCGGGCGGCCGGACTTGGGCAGGTGGGTGTCGAAGACGACACAGCTGCATTGACGTAAACGGTCGGAGGTCCGTGCCGATCTCTTGGATCGGTGCTGGACGCCCCCCTCCCCGGCGCGCGGAGCGCGCTAGGGGCGGCGCCTGAGGCCCCGTTCGGGATCCAAGGAGTCCGCTCGGCCCTTCGACAGTTTATGTTCGTGCCGCTTTCTCCTCAGGGCCCAGGCCACCCGCGGGGGCGCGGAGGTCGTCGCGCTGGCGCGTGGCGCACCACGCAGTGTCAGCTTGTGATACGCCCCTCGCCCCCGCCCCCCCCGAGGCTGATGGCTAGACCCCGCGGGGCGCGAAACTCATTTTTTTATCGCGCGCGCGCCAGGGGGCCATCGCGGGCGCCGCCGAGGGCATCGTGAACCCCCTTGCGCGGCAGCCCCCACACGACTGTTAGTGTGGTATAGAAGTTGTGCTCGGGTTCGTATACGATGACGGAGTTTCCCACTCTCAGGCTGCTTGGTGCTGCGACACACTCGTCGTCGTCGCGCTCGTCGTCGTCGTCGTCGTGGTCGTCGTCCTCGTGGTCGTCGTTGTCGTCGTCGTCGTCGCCGTCGCCCTCGTCCTCGTCTTCGACCCCGTCGTCGTCGAATGCAACGGGCCTGCGCCTCACCCGCCCCCCATACGGTGGGGCATCCGCAGCGCGTCGTCGTCGCAGCCCGCTACAGTGGACCTACGCAGCAGCACCTTTCCCAATGGGGGGGCATCCGCAGTGAGTCGTCGTCCGTCATCGTCGTCGCCGTCGCGATCGCCGTCGCCGTCGCCTTCGCCGTCACCGTCGCCGTTGCCGTCGTTGCCGCCGCGGCCGCCGCCGCCGCCGCCGCCGCCGCCGCCGCCGCCGCCGCCGTCGTCGTCGTCGTCGTCGTCGTCGTCGTCGTCGTCGTCGTCGTCGTCGTCATCGTCGTCGTTCGTCGTCGACCACAGCGGGTCTGAGCAGCCCCCCCATGAGGCATCCGCAGCAGTGCGCCTTCGTCGTTTTCCGTCGACGTTGTCGCCGTCGCCGCGCCGTCGCCACACGTCGCCACGCCATCGTCGTGGCCGCCGCCGCCGTCGCCGTCGCCGTCGTCGCCGTCGCCGTCGTCGTCGTCGTCGTCGTCGTCGTCGCGGTCGTCGTCGTCGTCGTGTTCGTCGTCGTGATCGTGGTCGTCGTTGTCATCGTCGTCGTCGTCGGTCCGTCGGTCGGTCGGTCGGTCGGTCTGTCGTCGTCGTCGTCGTCGACAACCCCTCCCTTCCCCGCGTTCCCCTGCCCATGGGGCATCCGCAGTGCGTCGTCGCCGTCGCCGTGGTCGGTCTCATCGTCGTCAATTACGAACACAAAGGCCTACGCAGCACACCCACCCACCTTGTGGAGCATCCGCAGTATGGCGTCGTCGTCCGTCGTCGCCGTCGGCGTCGGCGTCGGCGCCGTCGTCGTCGCAGGATATGATGTAGTGGCGTGGGGAAGGGGGAAGGGGTGACACAGGAAAACGACGTGCCGTTGCCGCTTGCCTGCGCCGTTCCTCACCTCTTCTATTTTTTTGATTGTAGCCATGTTTGCGCCGGCCGCTAGTTGTGAGGCGCATTGTTTCTTCCCGTTTCGTATTTTTCCGTGTCTGTAAGTACCCTCTTGGGCCAAACCGCACCGCTGCAACGGAAGCATGTTTGTCCCCATTTGCTGAAACGGTGCCGTTTGCGTCGCGTCTGTCGCCCTCTAGCCGGCGGCCGGGCGTCGGTGCTGCCGCGGTGTGTTTCCATCTGGCGGGCGCCCCCCCCGCGATTCGCACGGGCAGGAGAACCATGTTTGAATCACGCGCCTGGCTTTGTGCTCGTGACAGGCTGTCCAAAAGGGCGACGGGAACGACTTATATATATATATATATAAATATATATATATATATATATATATATATACAAGACTGCATTGGCGCTGCGCGCCATGCACCTTGGTCCTTTGAGTTCCGCACGCAAGCCGAATGCGTGCGTACATGCGCGCATGCATGTATACACGCGCGCTCATGCACGTTCTTTATATATGTTTGGGCGTATACAATATACTTACACTGTTGTATTGTGTATACAGCGTACATATGTACACATAAAAAATATGTATGCAAGGGTATGGGCATGCATATGCAGCTCGTACGTGCTTTGTCGGTGCACGCCGGAGCAATGACTGGGTCACGATGTGGAATGTCACGAGAGCAAACTCAATGAATGTTGGCATTCGGAAACGTCGTGGGGGGGTTTTCGGGGTCCTCGTGGGCCGTTTTGGCGCCTTCATGGGCCGTCCTGGGGCCTTCTTGGGCCGTCTTGGGGAGTTTGGGCCCGCTGCAGCCCCCTTTGGACCCATCTTGGGCACTTCCGGGGACCTCCCATGGCCCTTTTGGGTCTGTGATGGGAGCCTTTGGGGGGGCTCTTGGGTCCATTATGGGCTGTCTTAGGGCTCTCGTGGGCGATCGTGGGGCCAGGCTCGGCCGTCTTGGAGCTTTCTTGGGGGCCTCTTGGGGCGTCTTGAGGCGATCTCGGGGGCTTTGAAGCCGTCTTGAAAGCTGATGACATCCGAAAAGCGAATATACTAAAATTGTAAGTAGTACGTAGGGAATGGGACGACTTTTGTGTTTTGAAGGCCCCTTGGAAAGCTGTTTGGAGTGCCTTGGGGGTCTTTTGGGCCGTCCTGGAGTAATCGGAGTCCCTCTTGGAGCGCTCTTGTGCTGTCTGGGGCCTCCCTTTTGCCTTTTCTGATGACCCCTCTGAACGCCCTGGGTCTGCTGGCAAGACGTTTGTGGAGACCCGGGAAGCCGGGTGACCTTTTTTGTCCAGGGACGTCCAAGGGAACCCGACAACCCCAGATCCCGGGGATCCATTTTTTGGGGGGGGGACGGTTATCCCCCCCCCCCCGCGGGCTTGTAAAAACATAGGAAGAGGAATATAACATGTTACGTCATATGTATACACACATATATATGTATAGATATGTGTGTTTTCGCATATACATGTAGCCACCCAATTGTATACATTTCGTTCTACATACACACATATATAGATATATGAGTATGTACGTATGTATGCTTGTCTGTGCTATATATATATGTGTGTGTGTATGTATGTATACACATCCACCGCCCCAGGCATGGCCCGTTCCGTGCCCAGGATCGTTGTATACGCAGTACGGCCCGGCTTGGAACAGCGATTGCAGTCAATGCGCGCAAGAAGGATGAGCGACTTTCCAATATTTACGTTGCATCGCTTCCCTTTTGCTCACCCCTGGCCAGTTTCGCTGGCCGCGCACCGCTCTGAAAGTGCCGACATGGCCTTCCAAGGCCATTGCATCTTCAGTGACGTAATGAAGGGTACTGACTAAGGAATTGCTGGGGGTCGTGTTTACGCGGCGGCGCCAGGGATGATGATTGGATAACGTCATCCCGTCCGGGAAAGTATGTTTGGATAGTTTCGTGCCAGACGGACTCGAAGCGAAGCGGAAACCGACGATTCGGAAATTATTTGGTCAATCGTTCCCGCCAATGTCGGCTTTCTTCGTTGCCAACCAATCGGCGGTTCACATTACTGTGCAAATTCATTATGCGCGTCGTTGGTGTGCAAGGGCGCCAATGTCGTTGGCCTACTACGTAGTGCCCCATACGCAGAACTCCGTCGTTTCGACTTGTTTACAGCGTGGGCCCCAAGTGGTTTCGACCCCTTCCCCGTGACCGGCTTTTCATTCCGAGTCGTTTCTAAACGGCCCCGGTACCTGGTAAAGGTCCCTGGAACGCGAAAATCGCGAGCAACCTCGCGCCGTACATTTTTCAAAACGGGAGGGGGTGTGGGTCTGGACGTTTTTAAGGGCCTTCCCTTTTTCCCCCCTCGAGGGCGGCCACATGGGGTGATGACTCGGGGGGGTGGATGTCATGGCGGGGGCCATGATCAGTATCCGCCAAAATTTCCGGACGCCCCTCCTGATCTCAATCCGTTCCCGCCACCTTCTGGGCCGCGCACGTGCCGCCAGCCATGATTGGCGCCCCCCCCTCTTGGACGCCCCTTGTTGGAGTCCTCCTTCCCCTCCTCCTCCTCCTCCTCCTCCTCCTCCTTTTCCTCCTCCTCCTCCTCCTCCTCTTCTTACTCCTCCTCCTCCTCCTTTTCGGCGCATCGGCCGTCGGGGACAAAAAGCCCGATACAGTCAATGT